GGCTCGATGGGAGTTGGTCTGTTAATGACAGCTCATATCCTGCGCTCTTGCTGCCTGCTGACCTGGGAGGTGCCTCGAAAAAACCCACTGCCTGACGATGGGGCAGTCCCTTGTTCTCCCTGGGGAACTGGCTTCTCCTCCTTCCCACATCAGTTAAAAGATACCTAAGAAGGTATTTAATGCTTTCCTAATGTGTTTTGTTAGCCACGTCTCATCGTTGCGATGTCCACCGTTGTGGAGGAAGGCAAGGCAAACAGTACCACTGAATATGGGAGGGAAGGGTTTGTTGGGTTTTTTTTTGTGACGTATCTGTTGAAATATATTTTACAGCCTGGAATAATTTGGTTTGCTAGGAAATAGCAGTGATATTCAGGGACATCATGTGTACGTAGCTAAAACAATGGATATCCAATGGAAGAGAGGTCAGTTGTTTTACTGCTGTCTGTACTCCTGGAGGACAGCAGATGTAGGACCTTGCCAGCACAAGGATAATGCCCTTTAATGTAGTTGAATTAAAGACCCATGAAGAGAAGAAAGCTCTCACGGCTTCCATGGACTGGTATGTCCAGAGAAGGCTCAGAGCTCTCAGAATCAGTTTATTGTGATGTTGAAATAACCTTCCTTGGTTTTATCCTCAAACGTATTCAAACTTGCCCCTTTGGAGACAACTTGCCAAGGAGCTTCCTGCACTCCGTACGGGATATGTGGGGCTCTGCTCCCTTCACATGCAGACCAGAGACTGGCGGCGCCTGTGATGTTTCCCTTTTTCCACGCCTGCTACCTCCTCCTGCTCCGTGAGTGTTTGCAGAGCCAGCGGGGTGGACCAGGGAGCGACAGCAGCAGCTGCCGGGTGCCGCGGCAGGAATGTGGACCCACCTCTCCTAAGGATCAGCTTCCCGCCCTCGGCTCCCCCAGCTTGGAAGGTAAGCCTGCTCCGTATACAACTCCAGCGGCTCTGGCGTGCTTTTCGTTTCTGTGAGGAACATGCCATGAAATACCAGCTAGAAACGCTGCTGAGGTCCTGACGTTTCCAGGCATGTGCATGTGACCTTGGGTGGACGTGCTGGAGTAACGTAGGGATACTTGCCAGCACAGCATGCTGGGGCTGAGAGAAGGGTGGGCACCAGGGAGAAGCTGGAAAGCTTAACTTGCGGCTACAGGTAGTGAGGGAGCCTACTGGGTTTTGTGCTTGTTTTTAATTTTAAATTTTTGACTTGTTTTAAGTGTGGGGCAGAAACTGTTCTCTCCAAAGCAGACCTCTAAAAATCACTGCAGATGTGATTTCTGTATTAGTCTTAGGTTTTTTAACTGATATATGTGACTTAAGTAGGTAGCTTTCAACTGCGTGTAAGACGATTGAACACGTCAGGGTCAGAATGAGTGCTTCTGACTGTTGAATGTTTATGGTGTGGCTGATGCTGGGCAGGTAAAGCTATCAGCTTAAGCAAGAAATGGTGCAGATGTATGATGTGTGATGCAGTCTTTGGCTGGCAGCCCTGGGTTACAGCCATGTCAGGCTCAAAACAAAAATGTGCATAGTAAAAGAATTGCAGTACCCGCGTGAGTGAAAACACAGCTGAGCATGACAAACATTGTGACAGATAGTCCCTTGCTTCTTTCTCCAAGAACAACAAATCAAGTGAGCGCAGAAAATACATCTGCTTAAATGGTTTATTTACACAATACTACTATTTTGGATATTCAGCACTTGCCTCTCAAAAAAAACCCCCACAACCCTCTCCCCCTGCCCCCCGCCCTCAGCTTCATCTCTTGGCCTCTTGTTAGGTCCTGCTCTGAGAATAACAGCAGGTGTGAAGAGACCAGTGGTCATAATACAAACAAGTAATTGCAAATAGCGCAGTAATTCAGGCAATGTCTATAATGTGCTTTTACTTAGCACCTGTTTACTATGTTTTCCCTTTCAAAGTAAAACAGGAAATACATAGTTACCAACAGACTTTTAGAAAGTCCTCAGAGTAAAATAACCATTATTTCTATGCAGGAATAAGAAATATACTCTCATAATTACATAAAACCAAATTCTCATACAGTTGGGATATGGTCTTTCCTCAGGTTTAGTGCTGAAATGTCATGCTGAGCAAGGTGTGGGAGATAACAAGATGATGTCAGCCTTTCCTCACTACCTCCAGGGTCCTTGTAAATTGGCATCCAGGCTATGGAAGAGCCCTGCATCCAGTGTTTCTTGTGCTCCCTGATTTCATCTCGATGGCATGAAGTTTGGTGTCATATTCTGTTGCGTTCTTAGCTTTTTGCTCCCTTTCCCATCTCCAATGCAATCTGCTCCAACACCCTACCACTTGCACAGTCAGCAGCATGATGCACCCAGAATACGAATTTCCATTCACAAGAAATGAAGCAATTAGGTCTTTCCTAGCATCCCCATCCTAAAAATTTTATTTTTCCTTTTTTTTTTTTTTTAATTTTCTTCTTTTTTATGGAATCCAGCATTCAGGGTGTAACAGCTACACAGTGAAAAGGAAGGGTGTTAATTTTTTTCTTGTGAGTGGTAGTAGGCACCTTTACAAGAATAACGATGGAAAATGTGTTTGTGAAACTGAATACTCTCATCAGCGCCTTATGTTGGAATTACTATGAGTAAAGTCACTTTGTAGTCACTTCCTTGGGTCTTTCTGTAGCGATTGTTTTTGACTTTCATGTGAGTGAGCTGACACATGAAAACAGTATCTGGAAGTAGAGAGCATGAACGTGACTGAAGATTTAAGCTTTAGGGTAGTTAGTATGAGTGCTAAGCCACACATAGCATAAACTCTAGATAAAATCCACCAATGGTGATATAAGTCTGTATGGACTTACATGTGTCTTGGGTCCTATGTCACTGCACCACTGACAGCCTGGTCTTTTACCGACATGGGTGTCCATTCCCCAGCACAAGGAGGGAGCGACTCCCCTGGGAGCTGCCATTTGGGACCCTGCTGAAAGCCGGGGTGTCCCCGCCGTAGGACAGGGGGTAGGACACTGGTAGACACTGGTAGGACAGGGGTGGGGAATGCACCGAGCACACGCAGCTGAACATGCCACCTGAGATGCTCTGGTCCTTGTCCGTGATTTAAAACCTTTGGAAACGGACAGGTTAATGAGAGCGGAGGCACTTCATGTTTTTCACCTGCGCTGCAGGAATGGTCGGTAGCGTAAGCAGCAGCGTAATGTAAGCTGCTGTTTGGATCCCACTGAAGAATTCCTTTGAGGACGTTAAGTGGTACAAAGGCATTATGCAAGTCCCTCACCACAGGGATAAGTTTCAGCCTCACAGAAAAGATTTTGAAGATACGAACTTCTCAATACTGTTTGCCTTCCTTCTGAAGAGCGAGGAAGTACTACATCTTTCCTCTGGGTATTATGTCGCTTACTCTTGTTCCTTTTATCCCAGCATTTCCAGGAGGTGCAGTGAGGCGTATTTTTACTTTTGTGACATCAAGCTCATATTTATTCCCTCTACTACAGCAGCCCTTGTATATTTGACTGGTTCTTTGTGTTTGCCTTGCTGCACTCAGTCATCTGCTGGCTGCCTTACACTTCTGAAAACGAAGGTTTTCTGAAGTGAGACTAAAAGAGAGAGACTAAAAAATAATTGTCACTGGAGTGACTTTTTCTTTGTTCTGAAGAATCTTGCAGAACAGGGACGCTCTAAGGTGGGGTTTTTTGGTCAGCTTTTCATATGTAAACTGTATAGACAGTTGTGTGATGACTTCTTTGACTGCCTTTTCTTCCTATTCCAGGCTCTAAAAATTATGTGAGTATAGCATCTAACAAGAAATAAGCAGAGTAGAAAGGAGCATGCCTAGTTTTGGCTGTCATTTCCACAAAGACAATTGAAAAACGATAGATTAAAAAGGTTTTACAGTTCTCTCTCTATATATATCTATCTATCTAACTATCTATGTACTTACTTATTTTAGAAGAGTCTTCTTTTACCAATATATTGAGAGGAAGAGAAGGGAAGGAAGTGTGTTTTCTTTACTAGGGGTTTAGTGAGATGCTTAAACTGTCAACTATAGAAAGGGCTGTGTGTTTCTTAATGAACCACAGGTTGACCAGAGAGCGTATTCTCGTTTAACATTAGCAAACATTTTCTGTGTGATTCCGTCTTGTCATGCTTCCCCTTCCCTTGCTGGTAGATACAGAACCAGCCTTGCATGTGAATTGCCCCCGAGACAACACAAGCCCAGTTGACGTGGCAACCAGTGGGTGTGTTATGAACCATGGCATCTGCAGCAGAGCCACTGAGAGGTTCCCCCCGCACTGCAGTTTCTAATATTGGCTTCCTGACTTTATCTTTGTGAACTAGAGCCAGGTTATTCTTCTACAGTCAACTAACAGACTCCACAACCATCGTCTGTATGGATATTAGCTCCATTTTAGATGCTCACTGGTCACTTCTTGTATTTAGGGGTGTTCATGGTGCCCACTGAAAGTTTTGCAATTCACTCTGCATGTCGAAAATCCAAGAAGGTGTCACGTCCTGATATTAGAAAAGGAGAGTACACTCTGCTGAACATGGATTAGAATAGCTCAGACCCAAGCACTCAACAGGGAAAGATCAACAGCCAGGCTAAAGCACCATTTTAAAATATTATTCTGTATGCTGTCTGTGTCTATGTAACAACGTGTGGTGTCAGCTAATCACATTTGTCATTTCACTTGCTCAATAATCTCCGTGAACACAAGTTAGTGCTGCTGAGATGTAGCTATTAATTTTCATGGACTTCTTAAATATGAACTTTCCGGGTAGAGGGATTGAGGGGGGGGACTGAACAGAGCTGGTAACCAAAAATTGCTCTTGAACAATTTGCTGTGATACCAAACCAACATTTATTGTTATCAGAGGCAGCTGCCTGCCCTCTATCCACACTTCTATTTGTAGATTTTCAACGGCTATAAATGGAAACACACGCTGACCAGAAATCACCACCAGTGCTCCCTGGTGGGGAGCTTCTCTCTCCCAACTCCAAAAATACAGGGATATCTAACATGTAGTCAGCTTAAATCACTTCTGCTCAGGATATTAGAGTCGGGGTTTTTTGTCCCCTGGGAAATGGAGTTAGAAAATCGTGAAAGAAAAGTTTCAGGAAGAGGAGCCTTAGAGGAAAAGCAAACGGTAAGAAATATTGAGAAATGTTGATATTTGTTTTTTAAATTTGATGATAAGAAGGAAAGGAAAATCAGCCGTTGTACTTTATAGGAGTATTTCCTGGCTTCCTTTAACTACTGACCTTGAAGATTAAAACTCCATTCATGTATGTTAAATCAATTACAACGATACATGTCTGTGGAAACTATGGAAATTTGTGAATGCATTTTTGTGTTCATGTGAAGTGCAAAAACTGAGATCCAGTTAAACTTGATTTGTTATTGTAACCCAGATTGATAGGTAATAATCTGTAGTTTTCTTGGATTTTTTCTTAAGGGTCTATTTCATGTCTTTGCACATTATTTTCCATAACTTTAGATCAGTAAATGGCAGAGGAAATTGTTTGCGTGTGTCTAGAGCTTACTGAAAAGAGGTGTGACCAAAACAAACTATTAAGAGAAAGTGAAAACAGTCAAAACACAGCTTATTCCTAATTAGTGTAGGCTTGAGAAAAAAATTATAATTTGCCTTGCATTAACAAGGTTATTTTCCTGATATCACGAAAAGGACAGTTTATTCTTGGCTTTGCAAAGCTGTGAAGAAAGTTGGCCATCATTTTTGTTAAGAAACAAATTAGCGCTGAATTTTTTAGCACCTATCTTAAATAGTGGCGGTGTTGCGTTAGTTTGGTTTCATGGTGGGCCAGCCCACTAACTAACTGTTGTTTAATCACAAAGGTTGCCTCTACTAGCCTCAGTTAAGTGAGATTTGGAAAGCTTGTGTGTTAGTAGTTTTAAATAAAACTTCACTGAGGAAAGGTGCGTTGGGTAGGAAATACGGGAAGTGCTGAAACAAAATAATGATCTGGCCTTAAAGTACCTCTTCTTTTTTAAGCAAATAATGTTTCATCTAAAGAGTAATACCTGAAAGAGCATTGCTGAAGCTTCAGCATGAAGTTATAATATGAATATTGTCTAATGTTTTACTTGTTTGTTTTCTCATTAATAAATTAATATTTTAGACAGTGTCCTCATTTCAATGTTTGTGGTTGATACATAAAATATAAGGAAAACTCTTCAAAATTAAAAGTAATTATAAAATTAACATAAGCTTCAGGAAAACTTTCAAAGGAAACCTATGAAATTCTAACTCATGTGAGGGAAATATATAGCAATGTAATTAGATAGTATGATTATCTAATTGTGGGCTGAATCCTAAAGCGCAAAGAATTGAGCAGGCAACCTTGAGTGAGGCTTTTCCAAAATGTAGAGAGCTTCATTTGAAACCTCAATGATCTTCTGATGGCTTTCTCTGTGTGCATCATTTACTAATTTTAAGAATGGCAAACTGGAGCAAACAGGGACCTCGCTGACAGGAACCATGTTAACGCCCATGTCAGGTCACCCACTGTTTGGTTGTTTCACAGCTGAATCCTCTGAACATGTTGAGCTGAGAGAGTCCCTGTTAGTGGCTGCAGGTGACATCCCTGTGGGTGCTTAGCTACGGGGACAGAGGAGGCCCTGGCTTGGTGGGCTTCATGTCACTCTGCTGACAGTGGAGGAATGGAAAAATGCCCTGGCCCTGCACCAGTTCTCCTGCCCCTTTCCCTGTCCCCTTCCAGCCAAGCCCTAGCCTCCTCTCCACCCCCCCCTCTCTTTGCCTCTTTAGTCTTAGTGCCTTTCCTTCCAATTGCTGGATGGATTTCATTTTGCCCCCGCATTTTTTTCCTAGTTTTGTACCTCCTGGGCTTTTATTGATTCTGCCCTTTTCTCCTTGTTACATGCAGGTCACATCAATGTTCAAACACTGCACGGGAGCAGTGTCAGTCTGTGGTACAGATACTGTTTGTACATGTTACCGTTGATGTCTGTTTGCATATTTAACTTCAGTATAGCAAATACATAAGCTATTTAATATTATAGGTGCCATGAGGTGTCCAGTGTCAATAGTATATCCTATAAACTGGATGATACTTTGTGTATGTATAACTGGATGATATTTTAAAAAATAAATGTATTTCAGAGGAGCATAGGATAACTCAGATGCAACTCAGGAGGTCTCTAGCTCAACTTACTGCTTAAAGTACCTGTGGGATCAGACCAGGTTTCTCAGGGCTTTATTCAGTCGGGTCTTGAAGACCTCCAAGGGTGGAGACTGCACAACCTCTCTAGGCAACCTGCTCCACTGCTGGGCTGTCCTCAGGGGGAAAAGGGTTTTTCCTTTTATCAAGTCAAATTATTTCTTTTTTCAATATGTACGTTTCTCTTTCCTCTTGCCATGCATTGCTGTAAAACACCCTGGCCCACTTCCTCGATAACCTCCCAGAGGGACTGGTGGCTGCTGTTTGGTCCCCCTGGAGCCATCTCTTCTCCAGGCTGAACAAGCCCAGCTCCCTCAGCCTCTCCTCACAAGCCCTGACCATCTTGATGGTCTCCACTGAATTTGCTTCAATCTTTCAAAGTCTTCTATTGGAGGGCCAAAAACCTGGATGCCATATTCTTGGTGTAATATCTAGTGAGTGTCGAGTAGAGGAGGATAATTCCTTCCCTTGCTTTACTTGTCATGCTCCTGCTAGCACAGCCCAGGATGCTGTTGACCATCCCTGCTGCCAGGACCTGCTGATGGCTCAGGCTCAACTCGCTGCCCACCATGACCCCCAGGGCACCCTCAGCAGAGCTGCTGCCCCAGCCCTCAGGCCCCAGCCTGGATCACTGACAGGGGTTCTCCCTTCTCAGGTCCATAATGCTCCTGTTGGCCCGTTCCTCCAGCCTCCATTCCTCAGGCCTGCCCTCAGGAAAGACTCTTCCCTCTCAGTTTGGTGTTATCTGCAAACCTGGTGAGTGTCCTGCATCATCTCCTGTGGATCATTGATGAAGATGTTAAACAAGACAGGTCTCAGGACGTAGCCCGCAGCACTCCACTTGTTAGTGTCCTCCAAGAAGCATGAAAAGCATTAACTGTGGACATCTGAGCCTGATTGTCCTATAAGCTTCTTGGCTGTCTGCTTGTCCACCACCCAGGCTGTCATGTCCTACTGTGGATATGAGAATAGTGGGATACAGTGTTGAAGGCGAGTCAGGGTAAAAGGCATCCACTGCTCTCTCCTCATTCACAAATCCAGACACTATCATAGAAGGCAATCAGTTTGGTTGGGGATGATTTCCCCTTGGTGAACCTATGTGCTGTTCCAAACCACATTCTTCCCACAGGTGGGGACACGTTGAGTTATCTCAAGTCATCCCTGCTTTGATCCTCATCCACTTCTTGTTGCTCTCCTCCCTGACCCCTGCTGCTAAGCATGAATGCCTGGGACACCTTGTTGTAGAGGGCCGAGGCAAAGACATCAATCACTGTGTCACCCCCAGCCTTAGACATACCTGTTTCCATCTCCTGTGCTGCCTTTTTTGTGCTGGAGCTCAGTTACAAACTCATTGTTTAGCCACACTTATGTCCTGATAAATCTCCTTGTCTTCCTGAATATCAGAGGTTGAGGAAGAGGTTGTTTTCACACAGGATGGCTTTCCTGAGCTCCTTGTGTTTCCAAGCTGCCTCCTATGGGATCCCACTTACCAGGTCCTGAATAAGCCAAAGTCAGCTCTTCTAAACCGCAGGGTCTGTGCTCTGGTACTTGTCTTCCTCACTTTCCCCCAGGATCTTCGCCTTCATTATTTCATGGTTGCTACAGTGAGGGCTGCCTTTGAGCATCATATTGCCAAACACTTCTTCCTCATTTCTGAATAATCGATTTAGCTGTGCACAATCCTGGTTGGCCCATCTGCTCCCTGTATCAAGAAGTTATCCTTGACAAATCTTGGTTTTGTGTAATTTGTTACAAATATTTCTACTTACTTTCTAAGGATCAAAGACCTAATATAATCTATATCACCCTGAAAATATTCTGATTGCAACGTGTCAATTAAATCCAGACCAGTTCATGCTCAAAGTATAAGCTCCATAGAGGACAACGTCACAGGCAGTTTTATTAAGTGTTATTGTACCTTTACATTCACTGCTTACAGTGGATGAGATAAATAATATAAAATTCTCTACCGCTTCAGGCTATTTGTGAAATTTATTGTTAAAGAACTCTTGTCCTTGCTTCCTGGAGGAAGACTCCCTAGCAGCCAGAATCCTGAAGAGAGTCTTTGTGTGGAGCTGGCTGTGGAAATGGAAGATAATGGAGGGCCCATTTTGTGATGGGAAAATAGAATGACTCACTGTAAAATAGATTGGACTAAGCAGATGGACTCAATTTTCCTTTTCATAGTTTTGATTTTAGCACAGCTCAGAAGGACAGGGTAATTCTAAGGTTTCCCTATTGAAATGATGCCTCAGCTCAAAGTAGTCTGTTTACATTCTGAAGTCCTCCTCTGTTAATGCATATTGCCTCCGTTATCTGAAATTATTTTAATTATATTTCACACTTGCATTTTTCCTATTTGATCTATTGTCTCCCCATGAAAATACAGAACATGAAGTATTGCATTTAAAATAATGTTTACATTGATATGTTTAAAGGGAACATTCGATTTCTGAACTTCAGTTTGCATTATAAGGGAGTGTTTTTACTTTCTTGTTACATCAAGTAGTGATAAAGAAAAGAACAGTCATATAGAGAAAATAAATTAAACCAAATGAATATATGGATCCGAAAGAATGCCACGCACTGCTCGAAATGGCATTAATATTAGTTTTTGGATGAGAGGATGTAATCTGTAAAAAAGGGCTGCAGGACTCTGCTCAGAGAATTAGCATTTGCTTTTCACAAACAATAAGGGGATACATCTCACGCAGCGCGAGGCTGTTCAGATCGATCCCACCCAAGTGAAACAATGATTAACCTTTGTACACTGGTAGCAACAGAAGGAATCCTGTCAAGATCAGGTCCTCTCTGTGGGAGGTGCTGTGGTAAAGACTCCTCGGAGTAGACAGTCCGTTTCCTGAAGTTTGCCACCTAAGGGAGCCCAAACAGGATGGAGGGTGGTGACTAATATGGTGATGACTGGCCCTGCTTGCAGGTTGAGTTG